TGACCATCCCCCCTGGGGGGTGATTTCTCGCTTTCTGTCTCTATGTCTCTCTCTGTCTGACGAGCGCACATGCCCTATAGCGAAAACCTCTCAAAAAAAAAAAATTTAGGATGACATGAAATTGACCATTTTTACCTTTTTTTTTTTGTTTATTTGTTTTAAGAGAGATTTTTGCTATAAGGCACATGTTCTCTATAGACAGAAAACTACAAATCACCCCCCAGGGGGAATGGTCATACTGTAATCCCTTCTCTTCCGTTCTCTCAGGATCTTGGACACATACGCACCCAGTGTGAGTTTGTTTTTTGTTTTGTTTTGTTTTGTTTTTAAGGATTCTTCTAGGGACCAGCAGTAGGCGTAATGGCTATGTCACTGGACTCTCATGTAGTTGACCATGGTTCGAGTCCCAGACCTGGTAGCTTAAACTAACACCGGGCACATGTGCATGCGTGCCCAAGATCCCGAGAGGAGAATGGAGGAGAAGGGATTGTGGCATGTCCATCCCTCCCTGGGGGGTGATTTTTCACCTTTTGTCTCTGTCTCTCTCTGTCTTTCTGGCGAGTACACACACCCTATAGCAAAAACCTCCCCAAAAGAAAAAAAAAGAATTATTTTATTTAACTTTATGTTGTTTCCACTTTTTTTTACATTTATTGTATGCAGACTTTATTCCTGTGCCGTAAGTTTTTGTTTCTTCAGTTTCTTCTGGGATATCTTTTTCTTCTGTACAACTTCCTCTTACAGTTTAGGAACAGTTTCCTCCTTTTCAGTGAGGATCATCTCAATGTGGCAGGGGGAGCTCATGTATGGGTTAATCTGCCCATGAGCTCTCTTTGTACGACGGTGTATCTTGGGTATCTTGTTCACTTGAATATGCTTAATGACCAGAGAATCTACATCTAACCCCTTAAGTTCAGCATTACTCTCTGCATTTTTAAGCATGTGCAGCAAAAATTCAGCACTCTTTTTGGGCCACCTACCTTGTGTCCAGGCCCACTGTTTAGCCTGGGCACACCTACCTACTCTACCATTATAACGACAGAATGGCATGTCCTGCCTCTGTAAAGTGACATCCTTCAGATCTTTGGTGGCTTTTCCAATATGCATACCCTTGTAGGCCTGGGCAGTTTCAAGAGTGTTCTTAAAGTGAACATGGAGATTTGAACCTCTTGATTTTCATGACTTTGTGGGGTTCTCTGGGTCAAGCAAATAGTGAACCATTTTCAAAGATCACCTTGGGTACTTACAAGCAGAGCTATTGTTTTATTTGACCAGAGAGGGACAGAGTGAGAGAGAGGGGACAGGTGAGAAAGCAAGCCGCCAGGTCCTGGTCTTTGTTGGTTGCTCTGATTCTCCCTTTGTAAATGCTGTGTCCGGAGTACTTCATCTTCTGCTTCTCCTGATGTTGGTCCTTTGCTTCCTGTTGTGTGTGAATGTTAGAACATGAGTTTTGAGATGTCTGGGAGCTCCGCTGGGACTGAGAAGATCACATGGAATCTGCATCCTTGAGGAGAGCTACCAGCTCTGCGGCATGAAGGCATGCTTTCCGAGATCTTAGAATCCTCTCTTTTAATTTGCCTTCGTTAACTTCTCTCACCAGCTTTTAAGCTTTCCTCCATGGGGATCTTTCCTCTCTTTTGTTAGATTTGCATTCAGTTACTTGAGATACTTAGTATTTCAGTTACACTTTGAAACTAGTGGTTACTGAGTATAGAAAAGCTATATATATATATATATCAATAAAATTGGGACCAGCAAGTGGTGTACTGGTTAGGTCATTGTACTTGTACATAGTCAACGGTGGTGCAAGTCCTGGACCTGGCAGCTAGAACCTGACACCAGGCGTGTGTGTGTGTGTGTGTGTGTGTGTGTGTGCCTGCCCCAAATCTTAAGAGGAAATTGGAGGAGAACGGATTGCAACTTGACCATTCCCCTGGCGGGGTGGTTTCTCACTTTCTGTCTCTCTGTCTCTCTGTGTCTCTCCAGCAAGTGCATATGCCCTGTAGCAGAAATCTCTCTTAAAAAAATTATATATAATTATTTATATATATATGTATATTTATGCTTTATGTATTATTTTCATATATTATATATACATTTTTTAAAGGTTTTGTTTTTTACATCTGTTTTTAAAATTGTCTTTGACCTATAGTGTCCCTTTCTTTCTGGTCCAGGCTTATAAAACAAATGATAAATGTCCTCTCCTTCACACCTTTTGCTGTGTGGAAGAATTTGGCTAAGACTGAAGTTAATGGAATTATCTCCTCCTTAAATGTTTAGTAGAAATATTAACTATCTTAAAGTTTTAAGGTTTTTGCCATAGGGTGTCTGCTCTATGTAGATAGAGGGAGAGAGAGAAATCACTACCACCCCTTCCCGAGGGTATAGCCATACCACCTCTAATATCTCCTCAATGGATTTTGGGCACAGGCACGCAGCACCCAGTATGATTTTCACACTGCCCGTCTGGGGCTTGAACCATGGTAGGCCATGTGCGAGTCGAGTGTCTTATCCACCACACCACCTACTGGCCCATTTGTGGGAGGATTTCTTTTTAAAATTTTTATAGATTATTTATTTTTTTAATTAAATGTATTTCTTCTTATTTTTTAATTCACCAGAGAGGGACAGAGAGAAAGAGAGAGTGAGAAAGCAAGCCACCAGGTCTGGGACTCAAACAGCTGTTTGCCATGTTGGAATCCAGCATCTCAACCACCATGCCAGTTGCTGGCCTCAGTGGGAAGAGTTTAAAGTGCTAATTTAAGTTTAAAAATTTTTTTCAAATAATTTTATTTAACTTCATTCCTTATTTTTATTTTTAAATTTTACCAGAGAGAGAGAAAGTGTGAAAGCAAGCCACCAGGTTCTGGACTTGAACCACAGTCGACCATGTGGGTGTCCAGTGTCCTTAACTACCTCACCGACCTGTTGGCTCCATTAAGTTTTAAAATTTTGATTGGAGGGTTTTTTTCCCCCTCCTTAACATTTATTTATTTCCTTTATGGGAGGGATGGGCAGAGATCTCCCAAGAGGGTTTTGCTATGGAATGAGCCTCTCCAAGCCTTGCAGCCAGACAGGATCATGGGTGGGCCCATGGATTCACCCAGCATGTTCAGATGGAGCTGGATCTGAGTCTCAGGCCTCCCATTATGGCTTCTATACTGCATAGCAGCACCCCCCACCATGACTGGAACTTCATAGGATTATTTAAATTTTCTGCTTTTTAAAAAAGTTTATATCTTCCATGGTGGGTAGGGGAACATCCCTAACAGGGTCTTCATACCACAATCCCAGCTTCAGCCAGTCTGGATCACAGGCATGTATGTGCACATAGCATGTACAGGAAACCTGCAGATGCAAACCTGGCTTCAGCTTTGTGGAGCACTGTGCCACTGTGGCTAGACTCTTTTTTGTTTTGAGAGTTCTTTGCTATAGGACATGTGCGCTCTTCAAAGAGACAGAGAGACAGAAAGTGAGAAATCATCCCACAGGGGGGATGGCCACACTGCAGTCCCTTCACCTCCATTCTCCTCTTGGGATCCTGGGTGTACATGCATCTGGTGTGAGTTCAAGCCACTGGGTCCGGGACTTGAACCATGGTCGACTGCATGGGAGTCCCGTGACATAGCCATAGCACCATCTGCTGGTCCCATCTGTTTTCTATTTCTTAATGCGGTTTTATTGAAAGATTTGTTTACACTTCTTTTTTTCCTTCCAGTCAGTGTTGCTAACATTTTTCTATAGAATCTCTCGCTTGCCAGTTACCTTGTATGTTCAGCCCAGGGAGGGAGCAGAACTGGCAGAGAAGATGTTGATTTTTCCCCCAGCTCTCTGAGTGGAATAGGGCATTGGAAGGCATGTGCCAACAGCGCCCGGGGCCAACTCTGGGTGCATGCTCTCTGAAGTACAACCCACAGCTGGCCATCTGCCCCATCCACCATCTGTTGTCCTTAGTACAGCAGTTGGAGCCGTAGTTCCTTTCAGTACTAGTACCCACTACTCATCTTCTGGGTCTCTGGTTTTTTTGTGGTCATTTGCCATATTGAACTTGAAATTTTGTTTCTTTCTTTTTTTTTTTTTTTTTTAATTCCAAGACAGGGTTTCAGTGTGGTGATTCTCCTGCCTCAACGTCCTCATTAGCTGGGACTGCAGGCATGCACTACTGTATGTAACTTGTAAGGTGGTCAGCCAGTATGTACTACCTCAGCTGAGTCTCTTTCATTTTCTTCCTTTTTCCCGGACCTGTATGTCTCAGTCTGACTCAGCCAATGATTTCATAGAATCTGTATTTTTTTTCTATTTTTCTCTCCAAGCACGACATTGAAACTGTTTGCAATGTCATTTGTTCTCAGTAGCTCTTCTTTTTCCTGTGGCCTGAGTTTCCAACATTCTTTGGGTACCCACCCTGGCCTCCCAATCCATCTCTCCACTCTAGAAAGCTGCTCTCTCTTATCTTGGCTAATGTCTGTGCCAGCCTGGTGATGTCTCTGTTCTCTATCTGGGTCTCCTGCCTCTAGCTCCTGCTCTCTGTTTCTGAGCTGACGCCATTAGTCAACCCCTGCCCGGGACAGCTTTGGTGAGGGTGGTGCCCTGCTCACCACGAGGGAGAGGTGCGACCTGTGCTTTGTACTCTACTGTGTCTCCATAGGTGTATGCACTGGTGCCATGTGCCTTTGCTGTCTCGTGCTGTGTCTGTCTTGTGTGTTCAGTAAACCTGACCAATCCGGAGAGATCCTTGTAGCTGGTAACTGGCCTGGGGGAGGTGCTTAGACCGAGGGACTCAGGCTATTCTGCTGCACGTGTCATTTCCTCTTAGCTGCCTTTGCTCTCTCGTGCTGTGTCTGTTAGTCTTGTGTGTTCAGTAAACCTGACCAATCCGGAGAGATCCTTGTAGCTGGTAACTTGCCTGGGGGAGGTGCTTGGACCGAGGGACTCAGGCTATTCTGCTGCACGTGTCATTTCCTCTTAGCTTCATGACAAAACCACCAGGGCCTGGGGTTCTTGCTTGGGGTATCCTCATGGAACTCCTGGTGGCCAGCAGCACCTGGGGCTGTGGGTGCCACCACTATCATGTGGCCATCTGCAGAGGCACCCACATGTTGATTCGGTTTGTTCTTCAGAGAATATGCAAGAAGGAGCTCTGCCTGCCCATAGCTACTTCCTCTGCATACATCTGGAGACAGGTTCAGTTGGAGTTATCGCCAAGGTGGGTCTCTGGCCACCCACTGCTGGCAGTGGGAGGGCTGAGCTGGTGGTCTTTCCGTGTACATGAGGAGGAGTAAGCACCTCATTTGCCTTTTGCTGTGTTTTATGAAATATGTAGCAAAGTTCTTATGAGAGTCCATTACAACCGTTTATTTATTTATTTATTTATTTATTTTTCAGCTTCTTAGATCTGTAAAGTTTTACTTTGCATTTTAATTTGTAAATTTTTTAGTCTTTATTTCTTCAAGTAGTTTTTTTTTCTTTTATTAATTCACTTTACACCATCACAACACACAAATGAATTTTCCATCCAAAATACACTGTGCATTGGCTCAATCAAGCACATCCACATATATGTTCTCAGCAAATAATTTTCCAATTCTTACGTCCTGCATACCTTGCCCTTTGTCTTGCCATCCCTGATTCCCCATCCCCCACCCTCTGCTATGTCCCATCTTCCTCCCCCATTGTCCCTGGCATCCATGGTTGCCCTCCACACCT